AGGGGCACGGTGGTCCTGGGGGCAAGACCCCCCCCCCTTACTTGTGTGAGGTGGAGGGGGAAAGGCCAGCCTGGCCGGATGGGGTTACACAGGATGCAGCAGGGCTCTGATCCGCTGCTGGGAGCCCCCCGGCTCCCGCCCATTTTGCCCGGACCTGGCTTTAGAAAGTGATACCTGGCAGCGGCAGCAAGGGGGCGGGGAGGTTCAGGTGCCCCTTGCAGGTACAGCTGATCCCATGTCTGTGGGTTTACACTGGGGGATGTTTCCCACTCGCTTCTGAGCCAACCTCTGGCCTAAGAATGTCCATTTCCCCCCTCCAAAAAAAGGAAAAGTAGCCAACATGTTGCGATTCATAGGCACGCGGCGAAACCTGACGGTGCAATAGCCCCTAGGCGGCTCTTTGAAGGCTACACATGCTCACATCCTATTTCTGCTTCTAATCCCCGAGTCTGGGGTGGTCCGTGCTGGAGTCAAAGCAGACACCACTTGGCTACTCCTAAGGAACTTCCGTGGAACTTGCAGTATCGTAGCTTTCCCACGCCTTGTCCAGGATCACGGAAGAGAGGAAGCGTAAGGGGGCATACTTAATGGTGGTTAGAAAACAATTTGTATGCCCATGCTTTAAAAGTGTGGGATTTAAAAAAAATAAAGCTGGGAACCCACATCTGTATACAGGCTGTTTTCTTAGTTAATCGTTACCTCCTGCCACTGACTATATGTTGAAGATCTGGAGATACTAGATTGCATAGCTGGCAGCAGGTGAAGTATTCTAGTGTGGTAAGACTCCTCAAAGTCTTTAAACAAAAGTTCTGGCTACAAGTAGTTCAACTTGCTTTGAAGATGTCTCATAATCTAAGTACTTTGTTGTATCATACAGCTTTTCCTGGGATCAGCTGTCAAACTTAAGTTAGGACACTTAATTTCTTAACATTCTTAAAATGCGTTGAAGCTGTAACCACTTCCCTTAAGATTATTTAGTAAATCCAATTAATAATTCTGGGACATTAGTCATCTTTTTACCAGCTCCTTGAATTCCTATACTATTTTTCGTTCTGTATTGTAACAGTTGAGTTCAGTTCTTGTTACATAAGGCTTCAAACTTCTGATACCTAGCATATGATTACATGTTATTTGCTTTCTGATTTGCTAGAAAATGAGAAATAGTAATAGTAAATTAATCAGAAAAGAAATAAGGAATGTTTTCCCTTATTTTTCACAGACTTAATATTGGATTTCATTTTTTTGTTTAGTTATGTTGACATCTAAATATATGACAGCACCATGGAGAAGTTTTATGTCTTGAGTCAATCCAAAAGTAAGGACAATACACTCCACAACATCCCCTCCCCCACACATCTTACAGCTGTACTTAGTTGATTCCTATGGGTATGTCTACACTACCCTGCTAGTTCGAACTAGCGGGGTAATGTAGGCATACCAATGAAGCCCGGGATTGAATTTCCCGGGCTTCATTTGCATAAACCGGGCGCCGCCATTTTTAAATCCCGGCTCGTTCGAACTCCGTGCCGCGCAGCTACACGCGGCACGGACTAGGTAGTTTGGACTAGGCTACCGTTACTCCTCATTCCACCTCACGCGGCACGGGGTTCGAACGAGCCAGGATTTAAAAATGGCGGCGCCCGGGTTATGCAAATGAAGCCCGGGAAATTCAAATCCCGGGCTTCATTTGCAAGTGCGGTATGCCTACATTACCCTCCTAGTTCGAACTAGGAGGGTAGTGTAGACATACCCTAAGAGAATGATAATAATGGGGGTTTAGCCGGGATTTAAAAATGGCGGCTCCCCGCTTATGCAAATGAAGCCCGGGAAATTCAAATCCCGGGCTTCATTTGCAAGTGTGGTATGCCTACATTACCCTCCTAGTTCGAACTAGGAGGGTAGTGTAGACATACCCTCACTGATGTGGTTCCCGACTGAGAAGAAGAGAGACACTCCCCACATTTCCCTCGCACACTAGAGCCAACAAGAACTTAGGCTAGTAGATTTTGCCAGCCCCAAGGGGGGATAGCAGTGGGGCTGGAATGCCAACATGGGCTCCCCAATGCTGGGGGAGGAACCCTAAACCTCAGGAACTGGATCCAGTCAAGGTGGGGGCCACACCTGGCCCCCGGGCCTTAAGTTCCCCACCCTGGTATAAGCTCTGGGGTTGAAAAGTGTAAGGCCCTATATTCTACTCACCTAAGCAGTGCTTAGCCATCTATGCTGCTATTTACACTTGTGCTTAGTGAGCATATAGCTGTCTGTATTCTACACATTGCTGTAAGTGTAGATCTAACTTAAATCTGTAGACACGTAAATTCACTAAGCACCTGCATTTTTGTTGTAAAAATTCTTTGGTGGCTACATTTCTGTCTCTTAGCATGCATGTTGCTGCTTCATTTTAGGTACAGGTTTAACCTTCTAGTCCTTGGGACCTGACCAGTGATGAACCAGAAAATTTTCCAGACTAAAGGAAGTCAATATTGTCTAGCAAGATTACCAACACTTACACTGCTTAGTGGGCTCTTAGAAGACATTTAGGTGTTAAATCAGAGCTAAATAACAGCACAGAGCACTGAGAACCAGGACTGCTAGCTGTAAAAAAACTTTATGGGACCGCGGGAAACTAGGCCATGCCCATGATAAGTGGACATACAGCTAAATAAAATCATGCCAGGCCATGGATGTTTCTGGATCAGAGACTGCCCGACTAGAGAGGTTCAACCTGCACCTGGGCACTGATATCCTGTCTAAGCCCAGGAAGATCCACAAGAGACAGGAGAATTGGCACTCTTCCACTTATCTTGCATGTGGGCCTTTTTCTGGTAGAAGTGCTTAAAGTAACCTACCAGATAAGGCCCCTTCCAAATCCATGAGGAAGCCAAACCCACTGCAGAGCTTTTAGTCCAGTTAGAGCACTCACCAGGGTTGCGAGACATGTAGTTTCAGTTCTGCCCTCTGCGTGATGGAGAGAGAATGTGTTCAGAAGTCTCCCATTTTGGAGAAATAATAATTGGGCCAGAGAGAAAGACTGTAGAGCAGTGTTGGGCAACCTTTGGCCTGTGGGCTGCATGAGGCCCATCAAGATAATCTGATTGCAGGCTGTGAGACATTTGCTGATGCTGACTGTCCAGAGGCACCGCCCTCCACAGCATGCAGTGGCTGCAGTTCACTATTCCGGACTGTGGGGGCGGTGCCCATGGATAGTCAACATCAGTAAACTATCTTGTGGCCTGCGATTACACTTAGCAAAGCTGCCTGCCTGGTAGCTGGATGGGCAAGGCCTGCCTGGTCTGCTCCCAGGGAGGAGGCTTTACTGTGGCAGCGAAGTCTCCTTCCCAGGAGCTGGGCTGGCAGGGACTGGTGGCCCTACTCCCAGGGAGGTTTCACTCTGAGCTCTGCAGTATAAAGCTAAGCGGTTACACGGTTACCCCATTAGACAATTTTTAACATCCCCAGTGAACAGGCATGTGCAACAATACAATGAATGGCAGGATTGCATGTTTCATAAAAGGCATGGACTTGACAGCTTCCCCCGGGCACTGTCAAGTGGCTCTACTAAATGTATTTATTTATGGCACTAGAATCTAAATGTGCTCTATGTCAACCCACAATGCATTTTTCTAAAAGCAAACTTAGCATTTTAAAAAAATGTACCAGTAGGATACATTTCCATTCCAAAATCAGAAGATGAACAAGGGAGCAGTTAATGTGATGTTTGGATCAGGCTGAGTGACTATTCCCTTGAATAATTTAGAGAAGTAATTTGTTTTATGGAACCCAGCTGTGGTTATCACAGGGGTGGGCAAAAGGGGCTTTGCCCCAGTGGGGGCTCTTGTGCAGTTCAAAGTGGCAGCGGAGCAGGGGGGCAGCCACACAGAGCTGGGGTCAGCTGGGACTCCTCAGCTGATCCCAGGCTCCATGTGGCATTTCAACATATCTGGCCCTTTGTTGCCCCCTGCGGTCATTCTACAGTATAACTGTCCCTCCTACCAGATCTCTTCCTTTCCATTTTATGAGAATCAATCGAATTCCAGACACATCCCATTTTCCTGGAAAAACTAAATCCTTGCTTTATTTTAAGTTACGATAATAGGAAGCTGCATACCAGATATGATGATCTAGCTCTTATCTTTCAGGAAGAGTTCCACACAGCATTTCCCCAGAACCCGGGGTCAGCTGTGGACTCCCAATGCTGCATAGCTGACCCTGGGCTCCCCCTCTTCCTCCCTCTTTGCTACCTCTGTCTGATAGAGACAGCAAGGGGAGGGGAATTGACTAGTCAACTGACTATTCAATAAGCATTTGCTTATCAGATAGTCAACTAGTTGACTATTCCTTAACATCCCTACTATCTACTATATATTTCAGAAAGTTTGTCTGTGTGTCTGTTTGTGTGTCTCTCACCCAGCTGGTGACATGCATTGCTCTGCTCAGGGCAGCCTGCATAATGACTCTCTCATCCCCATTCCCACTCCAGAACAGTGATTTAAATGAAGAAAAACAAAGGTTATTTGAGTGAAGGATCAAAGCAACGCCGGGTAAATCTTCTAGTTATACATAAAAGCTTCTAGTATGAGAGCAAATTAACACTTTCTGAATGTGTGCCTTTTAATACGTGCTTGTTAATAAGAGATGTTGGGTCTTCTATCAGGAGCATTCATTTTAAGTTATTTCGCTTAATACAGACCCAATGAATTGTAAGGATTTTTGTGCTGTTTGTTCAGGTTTTTTTTTTGTTTTACTGATATGAGGGCAGGTAAGTACTATAGCATTTAACCATACATATTTATTATTATATATACAGAAGAATAGCTATAACATTGTACTGTATCTTACTCATTTTATTTTACTAGTTAATTATAGTTTGTGGGATTGCATCTATTGGTTTATATAACGTGGCTCAGATTAGTCATGAATTTATACAGATGTTACTTTTATATTACGTATGTATTTTATTGTAATATAATTGCATATTTTCTTGTTTTATAATTTGCTTTGTACTCATCTACTTGCTTACATGTTCTTTAAGGGACAGTGATCATAGTGGAGGAGTACATGTGACAATAAATGGATTCTCAGGCAATTAGACACAGACATTTATTCTCAAAAGCCATTTATTGTGGATAGACTGGCATGCATATTGCTCCTTTTATAGGACTAGACTAAACAAAGAAGATTCAACAAGTCACACCATAAAAAGGACTTGCCTCATAAGTATTTAAAAGGTCTGTTCCATTGCTTTCTCAGAATTTCCACTGATGTCACTTGATGTAGCTCAGATGAATAATTGTTCCCATCATTCATAGCAGTTACCACTAAAAAAGTACTCGGCACCTTTTAGGGGCAGGTCCAATATGGAGAAATTTGAGAGGGGGTTATAACCTGAACAGTTTAGGCATTAGCCAATGTAGAAAGTGAATGGACGCATACAACACTGCTGAGAACCTTAAACTAATTTGTGAGAGGATGATATTTGAATTGTTTGGGCTGAAATTCTTCTGAATGATGTCATGTAATTTTCTGAAGAATTATATTAATCTTCCAAGATTTCTTTTGATGTAATATCTTAGACATGTAAAAAATACAGTAAAAAATGCAAAGTTATTTAAGTAAAATATTTATCAATAATCACCACAGAGATCATCTCCTGTAGTGATCTCTGGTATTATAGGATGGCAACTTTTTCCAGATGTCAGGGGGATGACAGAATTGCTGTGCCCTGGGTAAGGTGTGTGGGGACCGGCTCTGTGTTTTTAGTCCTAATACAACCATGGAGTAGGAAGAATTAGAGATCCACTAGAGGAGATAGTATGCTGCACCCTTTAAATTCCAGTTCTACATCTTCACCCATATTTAAAACCACCTTACTCTCATGTACAATGAAGTTACTTGTGTAGCAAGATAATGCTTTAACAGCCAGTAAGATAGCCTTTACATAACTACTATGAACTGTATTACACAGAATTTAAAAGCTTCAGGGGGTAGCCAAGTTAGTCCGTACAGGATAAACTTAAAAAACAACAAATGGTCTGGTAGCAGTTTATAGACTAACAAAACATATAGATGGTATCATGAGCTTTCGTGACCGGTCATCTGAAGAAGTGGGCTGTGTCCACGAAAGCTCATGATACCATCTATATGTTACATTAGTCCTAAAGTGCTACCAGACCATTTACAGAATTTAAAGTAATTTGCATCCGTGCTAAGAACAGGTGAGCAGGTCTCACCGAACCACGGCGAGCCCTGCTCGCCAGCCATGCTGTCCGGCCCGAACCCGGCTCTTCCGGGTTACAATCTACTTGCCACAGGCGAGTAGATTGTATTATTTGTCGAGCCCTGGTCATGCCTATATGATAACAACTCAGCGCCAAACCAAAAAAGTGTTTCATACATCATCATCATCAACAACAACAACCATGGGTTCAGTGCCCGTTGGTGCCCAATGCCTCCCTCGCTATTTCCTTCCATCTTTCCCTGTCCAGTGTGGAGTGGCTTAGCTTCTGTAGACTAGCTCTACACCAATCTACTATATCATCAACCCATTCTCTATTGGGGTCTGCCTCTCCTATTCGGACCATCCATTATGCCAGATACCAAGGTCTTAACTTTTTGTTCATCGTTCATTCTGCAGATATGCCCGAATAGCTGTAATTTCCATTGTATAATCTTCTGCAATAGGTTCTCTTTAGGCTATATCTTCCTGTATAATTCCTCGTTGATGATCTTCTGCATCCATCCTCTTCTCAGGATCTTTTTATAACAACTCCTCTTGAACACCAATATCCTTCTCTTTGAATCTTTCAGCTGAATCATAACCATCCTATGTCCTTAGTTTTCTGTATTTAGAGGTTGCCAAGTGTGCATGAAGGTACTTTCCAATTGAGTAAAATAGTTGCAATAGGTGGCTTACTAAAGACTCAATATGACCTTATAATATATGCAACCATAGAGTTTTAGAGAAGTGGCTTAGTAAATAACAGCAATTTGAATTTGAACATTTTCCTTTTCCGCAGTCAGGATACGTGGAGCCATTTCAGGGTGTCTAAATTCAAATCTATAGAGATTTGCAGTAAACTAAAATGCAAGTGTGCTCTAAATAAAGTATAAAATGTTCATTTATTCTTGTCCGTTATTATGGTTTCATGTATGCAAAAGGTAAACAGTGTTTTAAGCAGATATATAACTTAATCTTTTCTAGTTTTAACTAAACATTAATGTAAAACACATATACACCCCATAGATGGTGGGTGTTTTGACTTTAAATATTAGAAATTAACAGTTAAGTGGAGGTAAGTAAATGATGTCTAGTGAAGAGAGAACTCAGAAACTCTAATATTACATGTAAAATAGGACATTGCACGTTAAAAAAAGTCCCAAAACCAACCAAACAAAAAAAACCACCCCTCAGTTCTGGTACCTTTTATTTTGGCCCTGATTTAGCTTATTTCAGTCTATGTAGACATTGTAATATCTAAGGGTATGTCTACACTACCACCCTAGTTCGAACTAGGGTGGTAATGTAGTTGCAAATGAAGCCCAGGATTTGAATTTCCTGGGATTCATTTGCATGTTGCCGGGCACTGCCATTTTTAAATGTCCGCTAGTTCGGACTCCGTGCCCCGCGGCTACACGCGGCACGAACTAGGTAGTTCGGACTAGGCTTCCTATTCCAACCTACCGTTACTCCTCGGGAGGAATAGGAATAGGAAGCCTAGTCCGAACTACCTACTTCGTTCCGCGTGTAGCCACGGGGCACGGAGTCCGAACTAGCGGACATTTAAAAATGGCGGCGCCCGGCAACATGCAAATGAAGCCCGGGAAATTCAAATCCCGGGCTTCATTTGCAACTCCGGTTGACTACATTACCACCCTAGTTCGAACTAGGGTGGTAGAGTAGACATACCCTAAGGGCCTATAATCCAGAAACTCTTTTACATGAACTTTCTCAGGCTAGACTGCCTCATTAATCATGATTCGCTGACACTGCTGCACTCAGATGCAGGGTGAAGCCCTCAGTACTTACTGGGAGGTAGAGTAGTATCATGTCTGCTGAAGGTTCAGGACTTTGGAACTCCATACTCCTTAAGATACAGATAAGCTCAGACTCACTATTCTTCCTCTCCTTTGTTTTTGTGCACACTTGCTGCTGCTGTTACTGGCAAGCCTGAGGAAGGATGTGCATTGTCAACAGAACAATGAAGTGGACAGTACATAAAGTGCTCTCAAATACACAAAGTAAACAAACTGAAAAGGAAGGAGAAAATACTATAGTGACTAGATATCTGAAAGATCAAAGATAATATATTTTCTCCTTCCATTTCAAAGTATTTGAGAGCACTTTTGTGATGGAAGTTATCAAGTGACTGAGAGGAATTTGAGGAAGTAAAACCCCAAAATACTTTAAGAACATAAGAAGGGCCATACTGGGTGAGACCAAAAATCCATCTAACACAGTATTCAGTCTTACAACAGTGGCCAATGCCTCAGAGGGAATGAACACAACAGGTAATCGTCAAATGATCCATCCCCTGTTGCCCATTGCCAGCCCTGTCAAACAGGGTATGTCTACACTACCCCCCTAGTTCGAACTAGGGGGGGTAATGTAGTCATACGGAGTTGCAAATGAAGCCTGGGATTTGAATTTCCCGGGCTTCATTTGCATAAAGCCAGACAGCGCCATTTTTAAATGCCGGCTAGTTCGGACTGCGTGCCGCGCGGCTACACGCGGCACAAACTAGCTAGTTCAGATTAGGCTTCCTAATAACACGTTGGTGCCTTCCACTACACCTGGACTTCTTTGACAGCTCTCTTCTTTCCCTCTGTCAAGATAGCCACACTGTCCTGTCCAGCTGCACAGTGCTTCCTAATAGGAACCCCCATAGCCCCTCTGTTGCGATATCTTTACTAGAGGAGCATCCCTCACTCCCTCAAACCCTCTCATTGTTCTGCTTGAGTCCAGGTTTCTGGTGCAGAGACATCAACAGGTAAGCTTCTTTGTTGCTCCTGTGCCTTCAGCCCTCTCCATGCAGTAGCTTCAGCTTGGAAGCCAGCAGTCAACTCCCTCTGATGCTCTCCTGCCTTCAGCCTGGTTCATTCCTGGTTTTCTAGCTTGGGGACATCAGCCAGCAAACCCTCCTTGCTACTCCCGCTTTCAGCCTTCCTCCAGGAACCAATGCTCTAAAATAGCCCTCACTCATCAGGACTCTCTTAGCTTCTCTCTGTTTCCTCATAGTCCCCTGGAGCTGACCTGCCCTCTTTAACTGGGCAAATAAAAGCCCTTGTTCTGGCACAGGGGAGCTGGACCTATTTCCTTTATTGGGGCCAGCCAACCTGTCACATATCCAAAAGACAGTTGTCTCATGGGCTAAGTATAGGGCAGTTTGTCATGAGATGCAAGGACAAGTATATTAACATCTCTTCAGTTCTGCAATCTGAACTTCACTTAACTTCAGCTTTTCTATCTGAAATAGGGATGTAAGTGACTAGTCAACTATCCGATAAGCAGAAGCTTATTAGCAGGGCTCAACAAACCATGGCA